ATGGAAATCCAATGGAATCAGCAGATATAGAAATGCTAAAACTGGATCGTCTGCCACCAGCAATCGTGCCATGGTCAAAGTCATTGAGATCACATTTGTCGCCATGAGGGTGTTTGATGTGAACATTAACTGAAGCTCTTGACCTATCTTGGTGTAATTGTATGCATTACACTGCTGCCAAATAATTGTCTAATCAGATAATTGCATTAATAAGCAGGTGTACTAGGGTTCCTAATTCCACTTATACTTACCTAAATCCACGGTCATGTGACTTGTCAAGTCCCCAGTCGTTTTGCTTTCTCATTCTCCTCGGCTCCATCTAGTTGCCTGAATGCCATATTACATTATATACATTCGATCTGAGAAAAAAATATACCTAAGAATTTTCTTTTGGGGCTATTTGCACAGAACAAACATTTTTAAAGATTTGTAAAGCAAATGGCTTTGTGAGTTGGTTTTAAATAGGGTGTCCATGAACCTAGAAGAATAGGAACACACCCTGCAGTGAAAAGAGATTTCTGCAGAGAGAGCAGGTCGGGATTGAAGGGGAGTATTGTAGCCTTAGCTGCTTGCTAGGGGACATTTCTAAGTGTTCCCCAACACAAACAATATTTCCAACCCCTTCTGGGTAATATACCCAGTAATAAAAAACTAAGCTACATGCCCCATATACTTACTTAAATCCATGGTCATGTGACACGTCAAATCCCCAGTCTTTTTGCTTTTTCACTGCAGAGTGGGAGGGACCTTCATCAGGTGGCCACGTCACTGTCTGGTGACATGGAAACCTCTCATTGGGTCCATCAATGTGGTTTTCATAAGGTCCTGCAAACTCAAACGGCAGCAATTATCAGTGGGCTTGGATCATATCAGAGGTAGGTTGCACTCCCATTGTGGAAGGGTCACGTGACGGCGGATTCAAGTAAGTAAGGCTTAAGAAAGAAATAGTAAGAGGGTGGAAGGGTGATGGGTGGGTTGAAAGGGCAGGACTCACAGCTTTAACCAGAGATGTTCTTTGGGTAGGCAAGACGTGGAACTCTGTGCATCACTTAGGGCCGGTTCACACCACAAACTCCGCGTTCCAGTGCCTTCCGCCTCTGGAACCCACTGGAACGCAAGCCGGCCGGCTCCCTGCATTCAGGGGCGGGAGGGAGCGTGGCAGTGCATTGAAGTCAATTAGACCGTGGCCACACCTTCTCCATCTGCAGTGCGATCGCCCGCAGTCTAGTGCGTTCTGCAAAAAAACTGCAAGCACTAATTTTGCAGAACGCACTAGACCAGAACGCAAGCACTGATGTATCTGTGTTCCGGGCAATCGCACTGCGGGTGGGGGTCGTGGCTGCGGTGCCATTGACTTGAATGCACCACCCCTCCCACCCCTGAATGCAAGGAGGTGGCCGGCTTGCGTTCCAGTGAGTTCCAGAGGCCGAACGGGCTGGTTCACCCTATTTTTTTTTTCTGGTACAGATCTGGTCCGGAAAATGGGGTGAACCTGCCCGCAGTTCCAGTGCATTCGAGACCAGACAAAATGAGACATGGAGTATTTTTCTGGTCTGGTCTGTCTGGAACGGACTGCGCTGGTGTGAACAGAGGCCAGAAATAGCATAGGGATACATTAGGATGCATTTTGGGTGCGGAAACAATCAGGCCTGGTCTGGAGATGATCTGGATGTGGTGTGAATGGGCCCTTAATACCACCGATTGTGAAGAAACATGTCAGGAGTGGGCTAAGCCTTTAAAAAGCTCAACGTTCAACTGGATTCCCATCATTTGCCCAATGAACCTAAACTGCGCCAATCATAGAGCGCTATAGACCTCTCTGTGCCGTACTGCTCACGCTGTCCCTTAAATGCCGGCAATTTATTGACATTAAAACAATTGCAGCAATTGGTAACAAGCTGCCGCCGAGTAAACATTACAATGACCTAGAAAATAGTCTTGATTTTCTATGTCAGACTGAGACGCAGTCACGGTTGCCCCGGCAACCTTTGGATGTTTTTCAGTGAATGCGATGCGCGCTAGGGTCGCGGAGAAGTGTCAGCTGGGGACATAAACACATGCACAATGCTATTTAGCAGTGAAAGATGGCCTATGGAAACATCACACACACACTGGATTAAGTACTGTATTGTCATGCTCCAGCCTTTCACCGGGAAGCAGGCTGAATTGATGAATGGTGCCCCAATTCCGGAGCCTGGCGCTCTACAAGCCTCTCATTTATATGGTAAAGTGCTGCAGTCTATCTTATGCAGCCGCCGATCACGAGGCGTCCTCTTATTATCAGCTGGATGTTGTAGTGGACTGCTGGGCAACTTATCAGACGACTGTGTGAGCGATGGACGAAGAGGGAACATTTTCTATACATCAGTTTCCACAAATATCAATACACATTTGTACACCTAGGGTGGTGGAAAAAATTAATGTAGAATTATATAGGCCAGCAGGTCTCTCCGAGGCGATAATGATGAGTAAATAGTAAATTTACCTGCTAGATACCTCCCAACTTTCTGAAATAAGAACGAATAGCACCTTCCAACACAATCAGGTCTATTTAGAACCGATTTGCAGAGCCATTCGCCCTACGGATCTTTCTGAACGTTCGTTCTGTGCAAATAGACTCAAAAACAAATGGTTTTAGATATATATGTAATGTCATACTGCATTTTGGCCACTAGATGGAAGTATTTATTTCCTATGCTCCTCTGCTCCATCTAGTGGCCAAAATACTGTTTTACATTACATGCACTTGACCCGAGGGAAGAAAATATCTAAGAACATTCATTTCTGTGTCTATTTGCACAGAATAACCATTTAAAATTATTTGTAGTTTAAATGGCTCTGTGAGTTGGGTATAAATAGATCCCATAATGTTGAAAGCTGTCTCCTTTCTCATCTCAGAAAGCTGTGAGGTATATATATATACAGTAATACCTTGGTTTACAAGTAACTTGGTTTGAGAGTGTTTTGCAAGACAAGCAAACATTTCTGAAAAATGTTGCCTTGATATACGAGCAATGTCTTGCAATAAGAGCAACATTTTGTAGAACAGCACCACCCGAATAAGGCTGTAGCAGTGCGAGGGATGAGTCTGTTTAACGACAAGAAAGGTTAGAACCTGTGCTATGGTTTTATTTCATGAGAAAGTGGAACAATAGCTCTAGGACCCTGAGTTATTTTTTAGTCTTTATTTTTCATTATTGTTATCATACAAAAACATGGTGGTGGTGTGAATATAGGGAAATTTCCACAGGATTTCCACAATCACCTTGGGTTGTAAATAGAAATAAGTCAGAATCAAAGCATCACAACACAGTATTCAAGATCAAATACAGTTTTTTTCCAAAGACATTGTTTACAGAATCAACACATTTTGGGGGGCCGTAGCTCCACTCCCTTCACCAGGGCGTAAATAATCACACAATGAAATGATGTATCGGCACTCCATAGTCTTGTTACAGTGTGACAGTGTTGTAGGGTTGCACTGTATCTATCAGCAGCTGGGTTTGTGTAACCCTACAATACTGTCCTAACAATACTTTTACTACCGAGTTTGTATGCATTGTTTCATTGTGTCAGGTTTCAAGCCCTGAAGAAGGGTGCTACAGCCTCTGAAACAGGTTGGCTTTGTAAATGATTGTCTTTGGAATACATTTGTATTGGAACTTAAATATTATGGTGTGGTGCATCAATTCTAGATTCACTCACACTTTTATTTCTCTGTGTGTGTTGGTTTTCATTGGGGAGACTCTTCAACAGAAACAGCAATAAATACACTTTTTAATAGGGAAGTGACAGACCAGACCTGAGCATGTTACGGCCCCAGGGGTAACACACACCCCTGGGGCACACCTGGCTCTTTGGCTGTCCCTCTCCGGCGTGCAGTCCAGGCACGGACCGAGTGGTGATTCTGTCTGGACTGCAGTTGCCGACCTGCGCTTGGTTATGGCTAGTTGACAGTGCATGCACCAGTCTCTGAGGGTGGTGCATCCGCTACCATAGCTTAGTGCAGGCCCCTCTCCTCTTCACTCATTGGTTGCTAGGAACGCTGGCGTCCTAGCAACACATGACATCAGGTGTCCACCTCCTCGGCAGTCATTGGTTGCTGGGGCCCCTGATGGTCCTAGCAACCAGTTACAACAAATATGATCCCCACATCCAGCATTACAGGAGGACAGAAGAGTATCTTTTTCCATCTTCTCCTGCAGCTCCACCTCCCGGCTCCCACCTCTGGCCTACTAATAAAGTAGTAAACTAAGGCATGTGGGGGCAATAATATAGAGGGGTATTCTCAAGGGAACAAACAATGTAAGGGGGCACGCTGATGGGAACATTATTAAAACCATATGATCTACTGCTTTTTATATAGCAATACAATTAACATTGAGCAGACAAGTTCAGCCTATTTGTTGGGCGCTCCACAACAGTCCCAATTTCTCATGTGGCACCTTGAGAAAATGAATTGCCCACTCCTGTGCTAGACCCTCAGATTTATATTGATGTCTGATTCTTTATGCAGGAAATTTCACAACACTTCCTGTCCTGACTACATCAGGTCAATTTCCTAGCACAGCCCCCTCCCTCCTTCCACGTTAAAGCCATCTCCTCTTCTGGGAGTGTCTAATTACTGTCTGTGCTGGACAAGCTCCCCTGCCCCTTGCTTCCCTACATAACTTGTATGTGGCTTTTCTGTAAAGAGGAGTGAAGGGGACTACTTTAGATCAGGGATAGGCAAACTTCAGCTGAGGCAGAATCTCATCATGCATCTGCCTCAGGGAGTCATGCATGAGGCTGTCAGGGTCTTCAAATGCCTAATGGGATTTGTAGTTGCACCACAGCTGGAGGGCTACCCCTGCTATAAAGCGTCACTTGAGTGACAGCTCTGAGCTTCTGACATCACATCCAAGATGGAGGACTCCAGTAGCATTCCCACTGTTATATATTTTGGTGTAGATGCCTTCTTCTGTGTTCCTGAGGAGTAATGACCTCTTCTGTCCCTCTAGCTGCAGCCGCTGCCGACATGGCATACCATCACATCAGACCGCCAATAGGATACTCCATCCCCAAGCCGATTTCCTCCTTGTTAATGAGGGGCTGGAATGCCTGCCCAGAGGTAAGTGGCCATGTTTTCTCTTCAGCATTTCACAGACCAGTCAAGTATTTGGCCCCAGAGGGGTTTGTGGTCCCACAAATGGTGGCTATAGCCTGCATTACCAAAGGATCCCTTTGAACCATTGACCTCCAAGGCCAATGGCTGGAGGACACTGTCCCATGGAGCCAATGTAATAGCTGATACAAAAAGGCAATCGAGGCATTAAAGCAAACTCATGGCTCAATACACCATGTGCCAAGCCATGTACTTGTTTAAAGCTAAACTCCAAGGAAGCAGCCAGGCTATCCCTATAATGAGGCAGCTAAAGCTGTTGGCTCAGGAGGCATCTCTTTGGATCACGTTGGGAGGCAGAAGGTAGAGCTGCATGGCCACTCTGCTGCACAATGTTTGCAGTGCTCCTGCCGCCCCCTTCCGGCCAGAGCATCCCAGGCTGCTAAGAGCTGGGTGGGAAGATTTTTAAGGATTCTAAACATCTCCCCACCTAGCTCTTAGCAACCTGGGATACTCTGGCCGGCGTTCCACCCAGCTCTGGGCAACCAATGACATCAGTAAGCTGGGCAGGACACCCGCAAGAGCCGGAGCTAGAGCTGGTGAGATGATCCTCCCCGCCTTCTTAGTGTGCACCTCTAGCAAGCAAGGAAACATGCAACACCAGCAAGCACCAAACGTCCCCCTCGAACGTGTACCGCCAATACCACCATCCCCCCTCTTTGCTTCAGACATTGCAAAGTCAAAGGACACCCATGGAAGCAGCTATAAGTGTAACTTTATACAGAGAATACAAAAAGCTGAGGCTCCCAGACCCGAATGGCATTTGGGATCCGAATTATTGAATTGCATTCGGGAGCTCCAGAATGCCATTCGGGTCAGGGAGCCTCAGCTTTAATAATATATATATATATGGCTCCCAGACCCGAATGGCATTCGGGAGCCGAATCTCCAAATTGCATTCGGGAGCTCCTGAATGCCATTCGGGTCTAGGAGCCTCAGCTTTAGTATTAACATCTGTAGATGGTTTTCTGTGGTATTCACAACTAATATTCGTAAACTCATCCGACACTAACGAAAATTCTGATGTTGTCCGAACCTGAAACCCAAACCAAATTGAATTTCAGATCCGAATCCCAAATCCTATTATACCCGAACCAAACCGAATTTTTCCGCAGCTTACATGTCTACCTTCCACACAGAGTGCTGTGGTCGCTTTCTTCATTATGCTGCTGGGAAAGGAGAGTTAGGGGCAGCACAGGAGCGCCAATAAAGCTAAAATAAAAGCAGACCAACCAATGAAACAATTCCTGACTTTGTCGAAGCTCTCGAAGCGTAGGCTACACTTGGCCTTTAACTTGCCCCGGGTTGTACTGCGCTGCGATAGTTGGTTGCTTCGGTTGCCCCATTTAGACTGACAGAGCTGAGAACAGGCAACAAGATAGGACTGCTTGCTCACTGTGATTTACGCGCCGCAATTAACTTATTTGCATCGCTTGATAACTAGCCACATCCAGACAAATAATCTCATATTTACAATGAAGATATAAAGCGGTTTATTCACAAGCGAGAGATTGATTAACAAGAATCGCCGGAGCCGTCCTTCGGCTATAAGAAGACAAAGGTTGCCACCTTGTGGCCGCAGCTGGTATTTATTCATCAAGATAAGTTAATTCACGGATTACGCTTGCATCATGTTAACAGCACTTAAATGTACATAATTATAGTAAACAGCCAGCCAGAATATTCCGTCTGTGTCAGTATTCAGTGTGCAATTGAAATGGGCAGCTCGCGCGTGTTTCAGCTCTTTTCTTGCCCGTACTAATGCATTGCAATTATTGTGTTACAATACCGCTACTTGTCAGAGCCGCGCTCAATGGGGGTCATCGTTTTAACTGAGTCCATTCGTGTTAATGATTAAAAAATACATATTGGTGTGAAAATGCTCAAAAATGTGTTCCTGTAGAGTATTCCTGATAGCAAGGTCAATTAATGCTGAACTCAAGGCAAGCAGCTAAGTACACCGTTGATGTAATGTGAAAGGATTTGCATTTATTTATCCAGTCCTCTAATGTGCACAGCCCTGCCGGAGAGTGCAGACAGGTGCTGCTGATTAATAATACAGGTAGGTCACCTCCCAGTCCGCACCCACAGCCTGTGATTGGACAGTGAAGGAGGTGCAGCACACTGATCAGCCCATCCCTCTGCTCTCTCTCTCTCTCTCCTCCTGTCAGTATGTTCACTGTCAGCACATGTGCATAGAGCACATCTGATTGGCTCCTTGTGCTTCCTCTCCCATTCTACTATATAAGGCATGCCGGGAAACTGATAAGAAGATTCACCTCACTGATCAGCTCAACCCTCTGCTCTCTCCTCCTCTCAGCACATGTGCATAGAGCACATCTGATTGGCTCCTAGTACTTCCTCTCCCTCTCACATTCTACTATATATGGAATTACAGGAAACTGGTAAGAAGATGCACCGCACTGATAAGCCCATGTCACTGCTCTTTCCTCCTGTCAGCATGTTCACTGGCAGCACATGTGCATGGAGTTCATCTGATTGGCTCCTAGTGCAGGTGTGGGCAACCCTGGCCCTCCAGCTGTCGTAAAACTACAAGTCTCATGAGGCATTGCAAGACTCTGACAGCCACAGGCAGGACTCACAGAGGCAGAGGTATTATGGGATGTGTAGTTAAAGCACCGTTGGAGGTCCAGAGTTACCCACCTCTGCCCTAGTGCTTCCTCTCCCATTCTACTATATATGGCATGACAGAAGACTGATAGGGAGATGCACCCCACTGATCTGCTCTCTCCTCCTGTCAGCATGTTCACTGTCAGCACATGTGCATGGAGCACTTCTGCTTGGCTACATAACTGCCCTACTTGGCACATTTTTATATATGCCTGGCGTATGAAAGGGTTATTAAACCCTCGGATGTTTTTGCATATAGCTACTGCTAGCAGGCAGTAGCTATATGCAAAACCATTAAAAAAAAAACTTTTAAAAAGGGTTTAAACTTACCTGTGTCTTCGCCGCGCGCTCCCATCCGAACATCTGAAGAGCCTCGGGCGGCCGCAAAGGATCTTGGGGGTGCGCATGCGCACTTCAGATGTTAGGCCGGGAGAGGAGGAGAGACACAAGGTAAGTATATGGACGGCATGCAGACTCCGTGGGACATCAGAGAAGAGGAGGACAGAGGAGTCAGCGCTGGATCGGAGACCTGCACCCAGCGCTGGAGGGACAGATGAAAACTACAGGAAAGAAGAAGATGATTGGATCCAGAGGCATCATTTAAGGTAAGTCCCTACAGCAGGATTGGGAAGGGGGGGGGGGAGTTTGACTTAAATGTCACATTAATTTCCAGAGCACTAGTCATGATTATAAATGTGCAGTGCCACCTAGGTCGGATCTTTATTTTCCTCCTTATTTATCTCGGCTTACACTGTCTGAGGGTATCTCTGGGCACTGGGTGTCAAAGGCATGAAAGTAACTACAGGCTCTGTGTTTATTACTGCCATGATCACTTAGGAGCTGGAAAACAGCTTGTGTTAGCTTGAGTTTTGGAAGTGGACAGGGAAGAGACTGGCAGATCTCAAGGGGCCCCTCACCTCTGTGTGGATGTCATTGTGCCAGCAAATGAGGTGGGCTCTATCTGACTTGCTGCAGCTTCTAATGCACATTGTGAGAAGCTCCCAGTGTGCAGTGATATCAGAGGAAGCAGCTTCAGTCCAGGAGAGGAGCCGGTACAACGGTGCAAGACTGAAGGGGAGGCCGGAGTTCTTAGTAAATCATACAGGAGCCCCTAATTACCCTCATTTAAAGGGACTGACACTGATTTTAAACCAACCCACCTATGGCCCTCCAATGGATTTGGTAGCATTAGCTGTGTACAAAGTGTATATATATATATAGAGCTAATCCTTGGAACTCCTTGCACAGCAGAGCTCAGACGTCGGAGAGGAAGGGGAAGTACAGCAATACAGACTCTACTGCCTTGTACAGCACTGCCGATACTTGGAGTATAGACCAGACTGATAACAGTGTGCCTCCATTGTCCGTTCATCTGGTGTGTGTCGTTGTTCTACTTGCGGTAAAGAGAGTGATATCACTTATCTGGCTATGCTGTCTAGCAGAGGTGCCTGGATCACAAGACTGGCCTGGAGTTCAGCTGTAACAGAGGAGCAATGATGAGCACTTCTGAGCATTAGTGTACACACTGCATCTGTACATTGGCCTGAAATAGAAGGATCGTGGTGCGCACCATCTGCCCATAATTCCGGCAATGACCGACAGGTATTCCACCACCTGAGGCTGTCAGCAAGAAATCTTCCCAATAATGTTCTCCATAATGTTAATGAAAGCAACTCTGAAATTACACAGATTTTAGATAAAAACAGGTAACATTCAGTCAGATCCCTGCAGATGACCTCTAAGGCTGGGTTCACACCTGAGCGGTTTCTTCAGCTCGTTTTTCCACTCGTTTTTTTTGCATTTTTTTTTCGTTCAGTAAAACGCACGTTTCACTGGCGGTATGATTTTTTTTGTTTGTTTTTTTCTTTATTTTCTCTATTTAAAAAAAATATATATATATTTTTTAAGTTTCACTTTTAAACTTCCCGCCGGCTCCGCCCCCCTGCGACGCGGCCGCTCGCAAGGGACGGAACCCCGAAGTCGGCAGCCGCCGAAGACACAGCGGGGATCGCGGACAAGGTAAGACCTGTACGCTGTTTACCCGAGTGTGGCTCAGGGTTACCGCTTTGTTAACCCCGATCGACACTGGGGAATACCGATGGCAATGCGCAGCAGAACGCCCCAAAGAAGCTCCTGTACTTCTTTGGGCGTAGGGAGTTTTGCAGCGCGTTCCTACGCGCTGTAAAACGCCCAGGTGGGAACCATGCCCATAGGCAATCATTGGTTTTCACATGTTGAGCGTTTTACAGCGTGTAGGAACGCGCTGTAAAACGCCCAGGTGTGAACCAGGCCTAAATATTCCAAACCTGAGTTACTAT